TCCGTAAGCATGATGCTGCAGCCCCGGTCTCCTCCCTTCTCCCTCCCCCTCCCCCCCCTCCGATCCTCTCGTCTGCGCCGCACTGGCCGGGTTCGGGTTGCTTTCTGCTCTCTTTTCCGTGCCTCCCTGTCTCTCCTCCTGGAAGGCTTCAGGTGGGAGCTGACGTTACGGCTCTAGTAGCGACCAGCATTACTACAGCTGGACTGCAATCGTGCTAGAGATTCTTAGAGTTTGGCTAGACATGTGTTACACATGAAATTCTTTACGCTTCGCGTATCCCCACCAGCCCATCACACAGCAGCAACTCTCGCGAAGCATGCCGACTGTTGTGTTTTTCAGGCGTGTGTCCGCTTGGCCCCGCATATCTCCCCTGTTCCTCCTTCCTCCCGCCTCCTTGTACATCCTCCTTGTGGGGGGAGCGGGAGAAGGACGAGGCGGAGGAGGAGGGAGAGAAAGCGCTCCTCGTGATTTGAGTCGTTTGGGGTTTCTCGTCCTGGTGTGAGTCGTTCGGGCCCTTCTTCCTGGTGTGAGTCGTTCGGGCTCTTCGTGGTGTGAGTCGTTCGGGCTCTTCGTCCTGGTGTGAGTCGTTCGGGCTTCTCGTGGTGTGAGTTGTTCGGGCCCCTCATCCTGGTGTGAGTCGTTCGGGCCCCTCCTCCTGGTGTGACTCGTTCGGGCTCCTCGTGGTGTGAGTCGTTCGGGGCCCGCGTCGTGGTGTGAGTCGTTCGGGCTCCTCGTGGTGTGAGTCGTTCGGGCGCCTCGTCCTGGTGTGAGTCGTTCGGGCCCCTCCTTGTGGTGTGAGTCGTTCGGGCTCTTCGTGGTGTGAGTCGTTCGGGCCCCTCGTCCTGGTGTGAGTCGTTCGGGCCTCGTCCTGGTGTGAGTCGTTCGGGCTCCTCGTGGGGCCTCTTGGTGGGCCTCTTGGGGCCTCTTGGGGGCCTCTTGGGGGCCCTTGGGGGCCTCTTGGGGGCCTCTTGGGGCCTCTTGGGGCCTCTTGGGGGCCTCTTGGGGGCCTCTTGGGGCCTCTTGGGGGCCTCTTGGGGGCCTCTTGGAGGCCTCTTGGGAGCCTCCTGGGGGCCTCTTGGGGCCATCTTGGGGCCTCTTGCGACCTCCTCAGAAACGCAAATGAGCGCTGTCCCCTGAGAAGGACAAAATGAGCCCAAAACCTTCGTAAACTCAATGATTCTGCTATGAAGGAAGATGAGCGCGGCCCCCTCAGAAGGCCAACATGGGGCCGAAACCGTAGTAAAATCAATGATTTTGGTTTCAGAGAAGAGGAGAGGGTTTTTTCTTCCCCCCCCCCGTCGGGGCCAGAATCCTCGTGAGGGGTGTCGTTTTTCCCCATATCCTAAGGATTGGGGTTCTTGTTATTACTCTGACGCCTCCCACTCCTCCTCCTCCTTCTTCCTCCCGCTCGCGCCTCCCTCCTCCCAATGATAATCACCAGATAAGACAAGACAGGATAAGATACTACAAGATAAGATAAGATAGCACAAGATATGATAAGAAGAGATTTCAAGATAAGATAAGATAAGTTAAGCTCACACTCGCACTCTCTCATGATCACAAAACGCTGCCAGGGGCATCATTTGGGAGCCCCAAGGGGGAGCCACCCTGGCTGATCTCACGAGCCCGTTCGCGCCGATTTTGGTGGGACGTCTCAGCTAGAATTGCCGTTTGGCGCCCCCAACATGTATCTCTTGAGAGCCTCATGGTCGCAAAACGCTGCCAGGGGCATCATTTGGGAGCCCCAAGGGGGAGCCACCCTGGCTGATCTCACGAGCCCGTTCGCGCCGATTTTGGTGGGACGTCTCAGCTAGAATTGCCGTTTGGCGCCCCCAACATGTATCTCTTGAGAGCCTCATGGTCGCAAAACGCTGCCAGGGGCATCATTTGGGAGCCCCAAGGGGGAGCCACCCTGGCTGATCTCACGAGCCCGTTCGCGCCGATTTGGTGGGACGTCTCAGCTAGAATTGCCGTTTGGCGCCCCCAACATGTATCTCTTGAGAGCCTCATGGTCACAAAACGCTGCCAGGGGCATCATTTGGAGCCCCAAGGGGGAGCCACCCTGGCTGATCTCACGAGCCCGTTCGCGCCGATTTTGGTGGGACGTCTCAGCTAGAATTGCCGTTTGGCGCCCCCAACATGTATCTCTTGCAGAGAGAACTCCACAAGGGCCGGCGACCCGGCGGAGACCCGGCGACCCGGCGACCCGGCGACCCGGCGACCCGGCGTCCCGGCGACCCGGCGACCCGGCGACCCGGCGACCCGGCGACCCGGCGACCCGGCGACCCGGCGACAAGGCCACCCGGCGACCCGGCGCCCTGGCGACCCGGCGACCCGGCGACCCGGCGTGCCGGCGACCCAGCGACCCGGCGTCCCGGCGACCCGGCGATCCCGCGACCCGGCGACCCAGCAACGACACGGCATCCCGGCGACCCGGCGACCCGGCGACCCGGCGACCCGGCATCCCGGCGACCCGGCGACCCGGCGACCTAACCCGGCGACCCGGCGACCCGGGCGACCCGGCGACCCGGCGCACCGGCGACCCGGCGACCCGGCGACCCGGCGACCCGGCGACCCGGCGGCCCGGCCACCCGGCGACCCAGCGACCCGGCGACCCGGCATCCCGGCGACCCGGCGACCCGGCGACCCGGCGACCCGGCGACCCGGCGATCCGGCGATCGGGCGATCCCGCGACCCGGCGACCCGGCGACCCGGCGACCCGGCGACCCGGCGACAAGGCCACCCGGCGATACGGCGACCCGGCGCCGACCCGGCGACCCGGCGACCCGGCGTGCCGGCGACCCAGCGACCCGGCGTCCCGGCGACCCGGCGATCCCGCGACCCGGCGACACGGCATCCCGGCGACCCGGCGACCCGGCGACCCGGCGACCCGGCATCCCGGCGACCCGGCGACCCGGCGACCTAACCCGGCGACCCGGCGACCCGGCGACACGGCGACCCGGCGACCTGGCGACCCGGCAACCCGGCGACCCAGCGACCCGGCGACCCGGCATCCCGGCGACCCGGCGACCCGGCGACCCGGCGACCCGGCGACCCGGCGATCCGGCCGGGCGATCCGGCGACCCGGCGACCCGGCGACCCGGCGACCCGGCGACCCGGCGACCCGGCGACCCGGCGACCCGGCGACCGGGCGACCGCGGCGAACCAGCGTCCGGCGACCCGGCATCCCGGCGACCCGGCGATCCGGCGATCGGGCGACCCGGCGACCCGGCGACCCGGCGACGCGGCGACCCGGCGACCCGGCGACCCGGCATCCCGGCGACCCGGCGGCTGCAGCGACCCGGCGACCCGGCGATATGGCGATCGGGCGATCCGGCGATCCGTCGACCCGGCGGCCCGGCGACCCGGCGAGCCTCCCGGCGACCCGGCGACCCGGCGGCCCGGCAACCCGGCGACCCCGCGACCCGGCGACCCGGCGACCCGGCATCCCGGCGACCCGGCGACCCGGCGATCCGGCGATCCGGCGATCCGGCGATCCGGCGGCGGCGACCCGGCGACCCGGCGACCCGCGACCCGGCGCCGGCAACCCGGCGAATCGGCATCCGGCGACCCGGCATCCCGGCAACCTGGCGACCCGGCGACTCGGCGACCCGGCAACGCGGCGACCCGGCGACCCAACGACCCAGCGACCCGGCGACCCGGCATCCCGGCGACCCGGCGACCCGGCGATCCGAGAGCCCGGCGACCCGGCGACCCGGCGGCCCAGCGACCCGGCGACCCAGCAACTCGGCGATCCGGCCACCCAGCGGCCCGGCGACCCAGCGACCCGGCGACCTGCAGCCGACCCAGCGACCTGGCGATCCGGTGACCCGTCGGTCCCAGAGACTTGACGATCACGATGGCGATGTTGATGATGTTGTTGTTGCTGGTCATGTTGACGCCAAAGTTGACGACGGCGACGACGATGATGATGATGCTGGCGATGTAGATGATGATGGCGATGATGGTGATGATGTTGAGGATGAAGATGCCGATGATGATGGCGACGATGACGATGACGATGACGATGCCAAGTGATATTATGGTGATTCGCACGATCATGACTACGATGGCGAAGGTGAGTACGACGATGACGATGGTAATGATGACGATGACGACGACTGTGGCACCGACGACCACAGTGGTAATGATGATGACGATGATGGTGAGCATGACGATGATGATGACAACGATGAGAGCGATAATGAAGACGATAACGACGACGACGGCGGCGGCGACACCGACGATGGGGACGATTATGATGCCGACACATAGGATGAGTGGCGCGGCGGTGATGCCGAGGTTGCTGGTGATGATGGTCATGGTCGCGGTCACGATGATGACGAAGACGAGGATGTCGATGATGGTTCATAAGGGGATGATTGTGAGAACGACCGTCAGGATGAGGATGATGAGTGGAACGATGAAGACGACGGCGGCGAAGACGATAGTGGAGAAGATGATGACGACGGGCACAATGGATACCGTGACGGTGACGTCATTCATGCTGATGATGACGTCGACGATGATGATAGCACTGGTGCTGATGCTGATGGTGATGACAAGATATGTCAGCGATCGTGGCCGTGATGATGGCTGCGAGGGTGGCGAGGGCGATGACGAGGTGATGATGACAACGATGACGATTGTCTTGCCCGGAAGCACAGAGCACCAGAAAACGCAGCCTCGGCAGGACGCCTCGTTGCCTGGACCAGGCGGTAACCGATTGAAAGGAAGTTAGGGGGAAGGGGTGGAGGATCGCTCCCGCCGATAATCACTAGCTCGGCCTTGCACGCGACAGCTGACCCAATTAGCCAAAAGAGCGGCGGGCCCTCCAGCCACCGTGTTCTTCGAAGTTTCGAAGGAAGAGCGAAGGGATAAGGAGAACGAGGAAGTGTGATCCCCTGCTGTAAATGATCGCTTTGTCTCACAGAGCACGCAGATCTCTGCGCGCACTGCTCCTGGAGCGAGACGCTCTGCTCTACCGCTCCTTCGAGCGCTCACGCTTCTTTCAGGCTGTCGCCCAGCAGCGCGCTCACGCGCTTGAACTCCTCCACGTTGAAATCGTCATCCGTGGCTTTCGCGCCCAGGCTCCCCTGCAGCTTGCTCTTGTCACGGGCATGCAACCCGAGTTTCTGCGCGATCTCATCGCACACGGCCTCGGCGTGCGCTGGGGGCGGGCCACGCACGGACACGCCGCTGTTGCTCCTGGCCCGGGTCCACACAGCCAGCCTAGCAGCCACCACGAAGCGGAACACCACGCGGAGCGCCGCTTCGATTGTGTCGACGTTGCCTTTGAAGGAGCCCGCATTCTTGCTCAAATTGCACGGATCTTGCGACGACTGCAGCACCGACAGCAACATCTTCTTCTTCAGGCCGGCATCTGTCTTGAACTCCTCCGCCTGAAGGGGCGGCTCCATGCGTAACTTCTTCAACGGCCGCGACCCCGACCCCTCGGCCTCATCGGCCCCAGGCGCAGCCTGGGTTAGTCCCGCCACTCCCTGCGCCTGCTCACCGGGCGCCGCCGCCCCCGTTGCCTCCGGAGGCGTCGCCGGGACCACTTGGGATGCGGGGATGGGCTCAAGCGGTACATTCTCGGCGTGGGGTGCTTCGATCGACTGCAAGCTCGAGAAGTCCACCGCCTTGCCCTCCAACAGGTCCTTCGCGCCCCGGCAGAGCCTACGGATGCCAATCCTGCACGTCTTCTCGAATACAGTATGTTCTGTTTCGGTTGTGTTGGGCAGGGTTGTCCAGCGTGCTCTTTCTTGTTGATCGGTTTATGGGCGCGTTGAATTTCGTTAGTTGTGATTTTAAGTTGCTCGCATTGCGATGATGCGCACGCGAGGTTGCCATCTACGAAAACCTTGCTGACTGAATCAAACTAACTGGCAGGATTGGCATTCGAAGCGGGGCCTGTCTGCAACAGAGTGATCACCCCCAACCGTATCCTCGTCAGCTTCTGGCACAATCTGCCGCAACTCCTCCATGGACACGTCCGGGTCCCAGTCCAGCATCCTGTTGCACGCCTTGACGAAGCTCTCGCTGTCCCGCTTGTACGCTGCGAGGGTCGCGCGCCCAGGGCCCACTGCGAGGAAGCCCATTATGGTCAAGATGATGAGGTCCACGTGCACGGCGTGGATCTGGACCTCCGTCGTGCATGGATTCTGGGCGAAGGCCTTGAAGTCCCAATTATTGGCGATGTTGCGGAGGGTCGCCATGAGATTCACCCTCGCGCACACCGCTGGGCTGACAATCTTCTCGATGGACGCCAGCGTGGCAGGAGGCGCGGCTGCTTGCGTGGCGCGCTCCCGCATGAATGTCTGCGCCGTTTGCCTCGCATTAATACTCATGCGAAAGTTGCCCGAGAACCAGTCCCCCAAGGCTACCGCCACGTCCACGGAGGAGCGCTGAATCCGCTTACCCCTGCGGGCGCCCTTCTGCGCGAGCCCCGAGACAGCCCCAGATGCTTCCACGATGCCCTAGGCCAGCCGCAAGGCGGCCCCTAGCGTGCACAAGAAGGCCTCCGGAGGAGCCAACGACGGCCCTATAGCGGGGCCCGAGGAATCCCAAAAAGGTGGCCTCAATTAAGACGACCCCAGAGACGACCAAGAGCGGCCCCAGAAAGCCCAACTGGGCTTCACTCCTAGAACCCCAAGAGGAACCAGGGGGCCTCCAAAGGCAATTAAACAGTGCCCCACGACCGTCCCGAGACGGACCTAGAGTGCCACATGAGATCCCCCCTGCAGAAAGTCGACGAGGGCGACGAGGAGCAGGAGAAGGCGGAGAAGGGGGCGGGGGGCAAGGGAGGGCCGGAGCAGAAGAAACAGACAGACATTCTGCCTGGCCGTGTCCCCCGCGAAGCGGCGTGCATCTCTGGGGCGATCCGGGTCACGTCCACAGAGTCAACGAAGTCATGAGGTACCGTGCCCTGCCCGAGGCACGTCACGATATCCTCGCCTGTCATCTCCTTGATCATCTCTGGCGTCTTCCCAGCCTTCTTCAGCAAATACTCGATGACCTTCTCCCCGATGTCCACCGGGGGGATGTACTGGAGAGTTCTCGTCATGTCCTTCCGCGCAGTGGCATGCTCGCTGCCCTCCTCTGCGCCTTTTGACGCGCGTGCCTCCTCGCGCACGTAGTCCGCTGCCTGGTTGAATTGCTTGCGGAAGTGGTCCTTGACGTCCTCGGCCCACGGCAGGAAGTGTGTCCCCCGCACCCTGGAGTACCTGTTGGTTTTGCCCTTCTCGTCCGCACGTTCCTCGCCTCGCACATAGAGCGCCGATGCCACAAGCATCACCTTGCCAATGGCGGTTACGACGTCGTCGTAGTCAAGGTCGTTGAAGTAGTCCGGGTCGTCCAGCAAGAGGCGCGTGAGTTGAGCTGCCGGCACGTCTGGACGGATTTTGTTGACAACGGCTGAGAAATGTCCGATCAGGAAACGCATCATGCCCGCGGTGGTGTCGGGTTTCTGCGCCTGGTCGTACACTTCTTCGACGTGCATCATGACAGCTCCGCACAAATGCGGGCTTCGCACGAGAAAACGATTCTGGGTATTCCCAGGATGGTTCTTGTACATGTCATGATCGTGAATCTGGTTCAGGTCGTCGATGCGGCCGCCTGGGCCGTTGTCGAAGGTCTGGGGTAGCCATGTTTTCCCTTCGTGTAGCGCAAGAAATGCGGTCTCCCCTTGCGCCTGCATGAAGTTCCCGAGGCCGATGAACGTCCCTTTGTTGAAGATGGTGTCTTTAGCATGTTCTTTTTTCGCCGGCTGTGGGTTGTTCTCTGGGTCCTCCTTGTGTTTCTGCTCGGCCTCGTCGTACTTTTTCTTGGCTCGCCTCTCCCGTATCATGTCGAAGAAGGCCAGCACTTGCACGTCCAACCACAGTGCAACCGACTTTCCATCCCCAGGTTGGCCATGCTGGATCATGAGTAGATTGCAGTGTCGGGATAAGATGCCACCGTACTTGAGCTGAACTGCCCCGAGAGTTGTGGCCACCAGAATCATGAGGTGGACGTACACGCACGACGCGTGCAGAGAGGTCGCCTTGCCCAATGCCGAGGCCACAGCCCACATGAGCGGCGTTGCCCGCCGCACCGCCTGCTCGGGGAATGGGTTTTGGTTCTCCATGATCCGGTATATAGTCCGAATCTCTCCTTTCGTCAATGCGGGGGCTTGCTGGCACGCATCAGCGCCGCGTCCTAAACGGCGGGCCTTCGGAGTCGCTGCAACGTAGACCCCACTGAAGGCCAAGCCGAACATCACACTGGGCGCGAGCCGGTGCATGGTAGCTGTTGCCGTTCACACTGAAGTCTCTTGGGCGCGCGGCGCCGTGCAGTGCCCCTCGGGAGTTCCGCGACAGCTTGACACTGCTGCTGCTGCTGGGATCTTCGGTGATGGCGGCGATGCGTGTGCTTCTGTTTGGACTGCTGATGTCTCCCCCACCCAGGACAGCGTTTCGTGGCCCCATAAGGAGCTCCACCGAAAGGCCCAGTAGGGGGTGTTCGCATGCGTCTCCCCCACCCAGGACAGCGTTTCGGCGTCCACCGAATGCCCCAGTGGCAGGGTTCGCATGCGCCCGCGCCACCCAGCACAGCGTTTCGCGGCCCCATGGGGAGCTCCACCGAAGGCCCCAGCGGCTGCATTCGCATGCGTCTCCCCCACCCAGGACAGCGCTTCGCGGCCCCATAGGGAGCCCCGCCGAATGCGTTGCTCACAAAGACGGTGCTCACAACTGCATATGGCTGGGTCCTTCGCCAGGCTAATTTGTTGCTCTCGACGCACCTGCAACTCTGCAGTTCCAGTCCGGAGCGCAACGCGCTCCACAGGGGTCAAAGATAAAACCAGCTGGCATGCACAAAGTCTACGCAATGGAATTGGCCACGCCGTGTCAGCGCGGGCCTAGGCGCCTACTTGCTAGCTGTCCCCGCATCTGGAGGTGCTCCACTCGTCTGGCGCTGCAAGGGCCCCGCCTCGCAACGTCTGCGCTCGCAGGCCGCTTCTCGCTCGAGCCATTGGTTGCGGGCGTCAAAAAGGATCCACCAATGCATTTGGAAGTGCCCCCGCGTCATCTCCAGGCCATTCCGTGCCCTGCCGCTGATCCAAGAGTTCAATTGCTCACATGCCTCCGTGTTTTTCTTCTCCAACAGCTTGGCATTATCTGGCCTCAGGGGGTCCACTTCTGGCATGTTGTTCAAACACCAAGTGTGGTTGTCCCGGTGGAACCTGTCCAACACCATCCGCACCTCCTCCACGAAAGATTTCGTCCATGGTAGATACTGTGTTTCTTTCACTCGGGCAAGCGACAGAAGCTTGCGCGCATTGTCGTATCCCAAGGCCGCAATGACGAAGCCCAGCTCGCGGCCATCCTGCCCGGTCGACGCTGGCGCCAGCGCGCTCTGCTCAGCCCGTGCCCCGCCCACTCCCGAAAAGAAATGCATCCGTGCATGCATTTCTTCATTCCTCCATCTCTCTTCCCTTTCCCCTCCTCTCACCCCTCCCCCCCCCCGCCCCCCCCTCCTTTCCTTCCTCTCCCTCCCCTCCATTTCCGCCTCTCCATCCCCCATGTTGCGCCTTTTCACGACCCCTGGGCCTTTCAATTCCCCCCATCCGCGCTGGCCGGATTGGGGGGGCTCGTGACATGGGCAGAACCTCGGGCGTCGCCATCCGTCTTTGTGAAGCCGCAGCGCGAACGCATACAGCAGCTCGATTGACTCGCCCCGGAAGAGCTCCATCCAGTCCACCAGCATGCCGCACGATGTCACTGCTGTCACGATGCCTCCAGTGCAGCGTCTGACTTTGTTGTTGCCCCCGCAGAGTTTGTCGACGCCGCGCGCCTGGATAGCTTCCTCCTGCTTGCTGTCCAGAGCGAGCCATCCCTTGCAGCGGCTCCTCAATGAGTGGGCGCTGCTTGCGCTGCTGCCCATGTCGGCCGCCGCCGGCCGCTTCTTCGACCTGGCTGGAGCTGGCCGCTTCGGCGCCGCGGCCAAAGCCCCGCCGGCGCCCCCTCTTCCTGATCGGCGCGGAACGCCCGCGGCCTTGCCCCCGCGGCCTCTGCCCGCCTGGGCCGCCTTCCGGGCTGGCGCCCGAGAAGCAGAGCCGCGCCGAACCTTTGCCCCACCCTGAGCGCTTGCGCCGCTGCTCGCTGCGACCGAGCTGGGCGGCCCACAAGCCGGCGTCTGTTTCCTCAGCCAGCGTGCAAGTTGCCGGCTTCCTTTGATCCACGCCGGGCGCGACTTCCTGTTGCCGTGATCGCCCCGGCTCCGAAGCAACGACTTCTCGAACTTGGCCAGCAAGTCCTTGTCCACCTCGGCTCGCGGCAAGTGCACGTCGAAGGGGCGCCCTGGCAAATCGGGGTCGTGGCAGCTCACCACGCACCGCAGCGCGGAGACGCCGTCAGCGGCCGGCCCGGGAGGAGCGACGCCCAAGATCTCCTTCTGGGGTATCAAGCGCGCTTGTTCTATCTTTGACGGGCGGCAGAACTTGCAAAATAATTGTCTCGTGGGGGCATTCCGTTGGCAGCCAGTGTACAACTCCAAATCCAGGCCCTCCATGGGTTCATAGCCTTCCAAGCCGCCGCAGATGAATCGGCGGGCGCCGTGCTTGCCATCAAGCAACACCACGAGCTTGTCAACGCATTTCGGACACGTCCGCACGTGCTCCGCGATGCGCGCCAAGTGCGCCCTTCGCACGCATGCCACAATATTCGTATGGGCGCGCTCTATGCCGCTCTCCGTGAAAGACCACTCAAAACTCCCAACGCTGGCTCCTGCCAAACGAATTGCATTGTGCATGTACCAGGCGTCCTCCAGACGCACACGCGTGTGGTCTGTCTGTGTCATGAAGTCGCCCAGGATGAGGTTTTGCTGCTCACGCCCTGGGTGCTGCTTGGCCCACACGTGGATGGCAGATGTGAACGTGCCACCGCTGTGTTGCAAGGCATCTGTTATGAACTGCAACAGCTGCAGGTCCACCGCGTACCACGCTTTCTCCCGGGCCACCACAAAGTATGGCAAGGCCGCCTGCGTGGACACGGCGGTGATGCCAGACATCTTGCCGAAGTTAGCGCGACCGTCGATGCCCGCATTCTTTTTGTACATCCAATTACCGACGAAGTAGCACTTGCAGGGTGGACAGTACTCCTCACGGAATCTACAATACTGGACCCCTGCGCCGAGAGTGTAGATTCGGAAGCGAAAATCCTGCGAAGCAGAAGCCGCGCCCCGTTCTTCCCATTTGTTTCCAATGCGGCCTCTGCTTTTGCCTGGCTGGATCACCAAATCAATATGTTCGCATTTCGGGCATTGGCCGTGTGCGGAGGAGAGAAGCACAGTCTCCGACTCGGGGCACAATTCCTGCATCTCCTTCAATGCTGGATGATTCAAGTCGTGCTCTCTGGTATTCCCAAGTCCTACGTACGATTGGAGCTTCCACAAAACATTCTTGATTGCGTTATCTGCAGCCTCTACCTTCAGTTCTTTGCGTACCAAAGCTCGCACAAAAGGCGGAGCCAATTCATTTGGCACGCATGATTGCACGCGTGCCACGACCCCAAAGGCAGCTGCAGGTAACGGATGCATTAGTGTACTGAATGAAAAATTTGCCCCCGCCTCGCCAACCATCTTCGCCAGTCTCAGCTCCACACTGCACAGGGAAGGACAGCGCAGCGCGCTCGCGCGGGCTCAACCTTGATTCGTAAATGGGCTCCCTATGGACAGGGGTGATTATCATGATGGCGGTGCGGGCAACGATGTTGGCCCTGGTGACAACGACGACGACACACACGACAATGGACATGTCGATGGTTACGACGATGATGGCGATGCTGGTTACGATGATGCTGAACCTTATTATTGTCATCATGATGGTGCTGATGATGGTGATGCTGATGATGATGATGCCGACGATGGCTTTGGCTCTGGTTCTGGATTTGGGTTATGGCTTCTTTGTGCTTCTGCAAGCGGTATGGGTGCAACTCTGGCTGTTGGTCGGGCTTTGCTTTTGCTTCGGGCTCCAGTTCTACCTGTGGTTATGTTTCCGGATTTCGGCACGGACCCCTCGCTGGCACTGCTTCTCTCTTGTTCTGCTCATGGTATTGGTCCTGGCGCGGGTTCGCGATTGGGTTCTGGCATTGGTTCTGCTTCGGTTTTTGTTCTTCGGTTCTGGCTCTGCTTCTGGCTCTGGCCCTGGCTCTGAATCTCGCTCTGGCTCTGGCTGTCGTCATCATTATCTGGTTATGGTTCTGGCTCTGGTTCCGGTTCTGGCTCTGGCTCTGGTTCTTGTTCTGGTTCTGGCTCTGGTTCGTTCTGGTTCTGGCTCTTGTTCTGGTTCTGGCTCTGGCTCTGGTTCTGGTTACGGCTCTGGCTCTGGTTCTGGCTCTGGCCCTGGTCAAATCACCTCAACCCCAAGCGGTTCGGACCCCTGAGATCCGAGAAAGCCTCGTGCAAAACAGGTTGAAACACTTCGAGAACCGCATCTTGGATCCAGGAATTGGGAGGATCTCTCCGGCGAGAGCGGCCAGATTAACTCAAGTCAAGGCGCCTCGGGGCCCTGAGTTTCGAGGATGTTGCATGCGAAGAGGGCTGGAACACTTCGAGAAACGCATATTGGATGCGGGAGTTGGGGCGATGTTTCAGGCAAAACAAGCCAGCCTGCAGGCAACATCGTCCCAACGATGTTGGCTGCTTTCCTGGATGCCTCTCATGCTGCCTTCTTGGCTGCCTCTTGGCTGCCTCTCCAGCTGCTATCTTGCCTGTGTTCCTGGCTGCCTCTGCGGCTGCCTTCCTGGCTGCCTTCTTGGCCCCCTCTTGGCCGCCTCTCCGGCTGCCTTCTTGACTGCCTTCTTGGCTGCCTTCTTGGCTGCTTCCTTGGCTGCTTTTTCGGCTGCTTTTTCGGCTGCCTATGGCTGCCTTCTTGGCTGCCTTCTGGGCTGCCTACTTGGCTGCCTTTCTGGCTGCCTTTTTGGCTGCCTTCGCGGCTGCCTTCTTGGCTGCCTTCTTGGCTGCTTCCTTGGCTGCTTTTTCGGCTGCTTTTTCGGCTGCCTATGGCTGCCTTCTTGGCTGCCTTCTGGGCTGCCTACTTGGCTGCCTTTCTGGCTGCCTTTTTGGCTGCCTTCGCGGCTGCCTTGTTGGCTGCCTTCTTGGCTGCCTTCTTGGCTGCCTCTCCGGCTGCCTGTCCGGCTGGCTCCTGGCTGCCTCTCCGGCGGCCTCTCCGGCTGCCTTCTTGGCTGCCTTCTTGGCTGCCTTCGGGGCTGCCTCTCCGGCTGCCTTTTCGGCTGCCCTCTTGGTTGCCTTCTTGGCTGCCTACTTGGCTGCCTTCCTGGCTGCCTTCTTGGCTGCCTTCCTGGCTGCCTTCTTGGCTCCCTTCTTCGCTGCCTACTTGGCTGCCTTCTTGGCTGCCTTCTTAACTGCCTTCTTGGCTGCCTTCTTGGCTGCATTCTTGGCTGCCTAATTACTTGGCTGCCCTTGGCTGCCTTCGCGGCTGCCTTCTTGGCTGCCTTTTGGCTGCCTCTCCAGCGGCCTCTCCGGGTGGCTCCTGGCTGCCTCTCCGGCGGCCTCTCCGGCCGCCCACTGGGCTGCCCTCTCGGCTGCCTTCGGGGCTGTCTCTCTGGCTGCCTTGTCGGCTGTCTCTTGGCTGCCTTCTTGGCTGCCTACTTGGCTGCCTTTTTGGCTGCCTTCTTGGCTGCCCTCCTGGCTGCCTTCCTGGCTGCCTTTTTGGCTGCCTTCTTGGCTGCCTTCTTGGCTGCCTTCGCGGCGGCCTCTCCGGCTGCCTGCTTGGCTGCATTATTGGCTGCCTTCGCGGCTGCCTTCGCGGCTGCCTCGGCGGCTTCATTCTTGGCTGCATTCTCGGCTGCCTACTTGGCTGCCTACTTGGCTGCCTTCGCGGCTGCCTCTCTGGCTGCCTTCTTGGCTGCCTCCTTGGCTGCCTCTCCAGCGGCCTCCTCGGCTGGCTCCTGGCTGCCTCTCCGGCGGCCTCTCCGGCTGCCTACTCGGCAGCCTTCGGGGTTGTCTCTCTGGCTGCCTTTTCGGCTGCCTCTCGGCTGCCTTCTTGGCTGCCTACTTGGCTGCCATCTTGGCTGCCTTCTTGGCTGCCTTCCTGGCTGCCTTCCTGGCTGCCTTCTTGGCTGCCTACTTGGCTGCCTACTTGGCTGCCTTCGCGGTTGCCTCTCCGGCTGCCTTCTTGGCTGCCTTCTTGGCTGCCTTCTTGGCGGCCGACTTGGCTGCCTTGGCAGTGTCCTCCCCCCGGGCCCTCCGCGGGCCTCGGGAGCGCCAGAGAGCCAGCCGCTCGGAACGAAGAGGTGCTCCTGGGGAAGAGGTGGTCCTGGGGAAGAGCTCCTGGGTCCAGAGCCCTCTTGGCTGGCCCCCCTCCTCCCCTCCTCCTCTCCTCCCCTCCCCTCCCCCCTCCCCCTCCCCCTCCCCTCATCCTCCTCCTCCTCCTCCTCCTCCTCCTCCTCCTCCTCCTCTCTCTCTCCTCCTCCTCCTCCTCCTCCTCCTCCTCCTCCTCCTCCTCCTCCATTCCTTTCCCTTATATAAAAGACTTCTCCCTGTCGCACCCCGAGGCAGGTCGAAAGGGCGGGCCAGGCGTTTCGCCGGAGACTTTCCTCACCATTTATAACCCTGAAGCTCAAACAGTGGCTGCCTTGGCTGCCTTCTTGGCTGCATCTCCGGCGGCCTCCTCGGCTGGCTGCCTCTCCGGCGGCCTCTCCGGCTGCATACTGGTCAGCCTTCTCGGCTGCCTTCGGGGCTGTCTCTCTGGCTTCCTTTTCGGCTGCCTCCTGGCTGCCTTCTTGGCTGCCAACTGGGCTGCCTTCTTGGCTGCCTGCTTGGCTGCCTTCTTGGCTGCCTTCTTGGCTGCCTTCTTGGCTGCCTACTTGGCTGCCTACTTTGCTGCCTCCTTGGCCGCCTTTTTGGCTGCCTTCTTGGCTCCCCGCTCGGCTGCCATATTGGCTGCCTTCTTGGCTGCCTTCTTGGCTGCCTTCTTGGCTGCCTTCTGGCTGCCTTCTGAGCTGCCTCCTTGGCTGCCTTTTTGGCTGCCTTCTTGGCTGCCTTCTTGGCTGCCTTCTTGGCTGCCGTGTTCGCTGCCTTCGCGGCTGCATTCTTGGCTGCATTCTTGGCAGCCTACTTGGCTGCCTTCGCGGCTGCCTCTCCGGCTGCCTTCTCGGCTGCCTTCTTGGCTCCTGGCGGCCTCTCGGGCTGACTACTGGTCTGCCTTTTTGGCTGCCTTCTTGGCTGCCTACTTGGCTGCCTTCTTGGCTGCCATGTTGGCTGCCTTTTTGGCTGCCTTCTTGGCTGAATTCCTGCCTGCCTTCTCGGCTGCCCACATGGCTGAATTCTGCCTGCCTTCTCGGCTGCCTCTCCGGGCGTTTTCCTGGCTGCCTGCGTGGCTTCTCTCTTGGCTGCATTCTCGGGTGCCCCTTTAGCTGCCCACTCGGCCATTCGGCCAGCGGCCCCCGCCCCCCTCCCCTGACGGCCCAGACATCCGACGTCTCGATTTTTTCGAGACGCGGGCCCCCGACCTCCCGACCGCTTCCCCAGGGCCAGCTTTTCCTCCCGAGTCGTTTTTTGACGGCCCCGAGGCCCGGCGAGGGCCCCGAGAGGCCGAAAACTATGGAAAAACCTCCGTCTCGATTTCTCCGAGACGCCCGATGTCTGGGGGTGGCGGCAGCGCAGCGAGGCGACGATGACGATATTTTGCTTCGGCGCGGTCGGCGGAGCCGCGGCAGCCAGCGGGCAAGCCTGTCAGGCGGCCCGCGTCGGGAGGTCGCAGGTGGACTCGCCGGTCTTCTTGTTGAAGAAGTAGACCATCCCCGTCGTTCGGGACACGTGCGCAGACCACCCCTCCGGGGGCGGGGGAGCGTGCCGACCCCCGGGGCCCCAGCAGGCAGCGTCGTAAGCCGCGCGGAGAGAAGCGTCCTGGAGTACCCGCCTGGCCTCAGTGGCCCTCACGAACAGGGTAGACATGGCCTTCGCCACGGTCTCCGGCTCCCCTTTCACTTTGTCAGGGTGGCACTTCTTGGCGAGGTCCTGGAACGCGACCTTGATGTCCTTCTCCG